TTTTTTTTTTTTTTTTTTTTTTTTTTTTTTTTTTTTTTTTTTTTTTTTTTTTTAGTTCTCATCAAACAAACCATTAAGGTTACAATCTAAAACTAACAATGAGGTTATTTTTTAAAATATTTTTTAGGATATTTTTGAAATAAATATTAACAGTTTCATAAAAAAAAAATAACGGGTTAGTGACATACTGATTTAGTGACTTTGACATTGGAGGTTCAAAAAATGGAGTACTATCGAGTCCGTATGTTGGCATTTCAGTCTTCCTTCTCCTTTCAGGGTCTACCCTGTGGTTTGCTTCAGAATAAAATAATTAGAAGGTCGGGTGAATTCAATAATAGGGGGTTGTTGGCATTCCAACCTTCCTTCTCCTTTCACGATCTACCTGGAAGAGAATTCAATATTTAGTGGTCGTGAATATTTGAATAAGACGAACCGCCACGTGGTTTGCTTAAGAATAAACCAATTAGAAGGTCGGGTGAATTCAATAATAGGCGTTTGTTGACGTTCCAACCTTCCTTCTCCTTTGAGGGTCTACCTAAGAGAGAATTCAATATTCATTAGTCTGTGAATATTTGAATAGGGCGACCTGACACCTGGTTTGCTTCATAACAAAACAATTAGAATAAGGCTCCTAAAAATGGAATGCGTATTATTTATATAGGAGATCTTTCCATAGAAAAAATAAATGTCTATCTATTTTATTTAGTTATTCAATTAAATGTCTATCTATTTTATTTAGTTATTCATAAAATAAAAAATATTTGATCGGACATACATATTTTTTATTTTATGTTTTAAGGGTATTTTTAAAAATAAATTATTAACTTTGTTTTTCTAAGTTTAAGACATATTTTTATTAATTTAATTTTAACTATGAATGGGAATTTCAAATCACCGTTCAATTGAATTGGCGCTTCCTATGAATCTCTGTTGGCGCCGATTTTCAAGCAACTCCAATCCCAATCTCGGAACGTGGTTCAACAAATACGTTGATAAATCCAATGTCCATTTATGGAACTCAGTCATCGCCGATTTGGCTCGCAGTGGCGATTCGGTTGAAGCCCTTCGCGCCTTCTCCGCCAAGCGAAAGCTTGCCCTCAGCCCTACTCACTCCAATTCCCCTGCGCCATCAAGTCCTGTTCGGCTCTGTGCGATCTCGTCTCCGGCAGGCAGGCTCACCAGCAAGTGTTTGTCTTCGGCTTTGAGACTGATCTTTTTGTGTCATCTGCTCTTATCGATAAGTACTCGAAATGTGGCGAGTTGAAGGATGCACGAGAACTGTTCGACGAAATTCCCCTTCGAAATCTGGTCTCTTGGACGTCAATGATTACTAGGTAATGCTGTGTTTTAAAGCTTAAGTTGATAGATTAAGTAAATTTGAACTTCTATTCACTCGTAGAGTTTAATTTAAGACTCTTATCATGTTTTCTGGAGGAGGAAACACAGATTGAAGATGGTAACAATGTTCGTCTCGACTCAGTCGTCATGGTTTCAGTTTTATCTGCCTGTTCTTGAGTGTCGGGTAAGGGGATCACAGATGGAATCCGTGGCTTTGTGGTAAAGAAAGGCTTTGATGGGAGCGGTGGAGTTGGAAACACATTGATGGATGTGTATGCAAAACGTGGGCATCCTTTTCTTTCTAGGAAGGTGTTTGATTCTCTAAGTCCCACGTCAGTTGGAAAGGGTTCTTATAAGAGTGTGGAAACCTCTAGACGCATTTTAAAACTGTGAGGCTGATGTCGATACGTAACAGACCAAAACGGACAATATCTGCTAGCGGTGGGCTTGAGCTGTTACAAATGGTATCAGAGCCAGACACTGGACAGTGTGCTAGCGAGGACGCTGGCTCCAAGGGAGGTGAATTGTGAGATCTCACATTGGTTGGAGAGGGGAACGAAGCATTTCTTATAAGCGTGTGAAAACCTTCTCTAGTAGACATGTTTTAAAACCGTGAAGCTGATGGCAATACGTAATGGGCCAAAACGGACAATATCTGCTAGTGGTGGGCTTGGGCGGTTACAAAGGGTATTAGAGCCAGACACTGGACGGTGTGCTAACGAGGATGCTAGGTCCCAAGAGGGGTAGATTGTGAGATCTCACATCGGTTGGAGAAGGGAACAAAGCATCCCTTATAAGGGCCTGGAAACCTCTCCCTAGTAGACGCGTTTTAAAGTCATGAGTTTGACAGCGATATGCAACGAGCCAAAACCGACAATATCTGCTAGCGGTGGGCTTGAACTGTTACACCAAGTCATGTTTACAGAGGTATGATAAAGATTGGATTCTTTATTTGTCATTTGATGGAAGATCAAAGGTACATGTGTCATATGCTTGCCTCCAAAAACTTATCTTGCTAGAAGCTTATAACCTGCTGAAAACTTCTCTGCATATTGTTATCTGCTTAATTTCATTCATCAATGTCCTGAATGCACAACAAACGCTCATAATACATCAGAAAAGAGCCAGCTTGAGTATAAATTTCAATTACAGATCACGGTATCGAGTATGTTCGGATCGAATATGGACGTATCCGTTGTTATGCAACTGAAGTTCATGTCAAGAACAACCTCGCCGCCGAAGTTTGTTCGAAATCATTTCAGCCAATCGCGATATCGGAGAGCGATATGACTTAAACTTTTCTTTGGTGAATCTAAGGGAACTCTGGAGGGCTCTCTTCTCACTCTTTAGGCAATGTATCTGTTGCTGAAGCTCTTTAATGGCTGCTATCTTCTGATTGTTTCTCCTAGCTAACTCCTCTTGATGCTGCAGGTTTTCCTTCATGAGCATTGTCACTTGTGAGTTTAGTTCATTACACCTACTCTCCCACTTCGCAATAGCCACGGATGGATTTAAATCTCTAATCTTTCGTGTTTCAAACTTGTTCATCCTTTTTTCAGCGCTATCGATCTCCGGACATGCTGTGATTCTTCCATATGTTTTATTATCGCTTACTTCTTCTCTTATCTTGATCAGGAACTCCTTGTCGAAGATGCCATTGAGGCAGAGATCGACATCAGCGGATTGGATATCCGGATGTCTGATTTTGCATCGAAATATCTCGGTGTCGGAAGACGAAGACGACGCGGAGTAGACAGTGTTAACAAATATGAACTTTAAACAGTCATATTTTTCAGCCAAGGAATGGTAAGATCTGTTGTACTCTTCAAGCATGTATTTGATTTCTAGTTTTCTGTTTTGGTAATGCTCATCTTCGTCCAAAAGGGTCACTATGGCCTTCATTTTCTTGTCTATATCTGAAACAATTGGAACTGGTTATCTTTTCGGTTTTAAAATTTGCAATTTAGTCCCTCTTTTTGGCTGAATCTTCACAAACATCCCTGTATAGATCGACTTTAATGACCAGTAAATATTGTCCTCTTTAGGCTTTCCCTTTCGGGCTTTCCCTCAAGACTTTAAAACGTGTCTGCTAGGGGAAGGTTTTCACACACTTATAAAGGGTGTTTTGTTCTTCTCCCTAACCAATGTGCGACATCACAATCCAAATTAGATAGATAGATATGATCTCTTACTTGTTAATGGATTTTTATCGCTAACTATGCTACAATGCAATTATTATTGCGACTCTCCATAATTGTATGATATTATCCACTTTGAGCATAAGTTCTCGTGGTTTTGCTTTGAGTTTCCCCAAAAGACCTCGTACCAATGGAGTTAGTATTGATCATTCCCTAAATTAGTCAAAGTGGGACTCCCTCCCAACAATCCTCAACACTCCTTCCCTCGAACCAAGTACCACATAGAGCCTTCCCTTATCGAGGCTCGACTCCTTGGGAGCCCTCGAAGAAAGTACAACCTTTGTTCGACACTTTAGTCACTTTTTTACTACACCTTCGAAGCTCACAATTCTTTGTTCAACATTTAAGAATTCTATTGACATGACTAAGTTTAGGGCATGAATCTGATACCTAAACTTTAAACCCTAAACAAAACATCATTTATAAGTGTGTGAAAACTTTCCCTTAGCAGACGCGCTTTAAAACCTTGAAGAGAAGTCCGAAAGGGAAAGCCGAAAGAGAACAATATCTACTAGTGGT